TTTGTTCATTTCATCGAAGGTTTCCTTCAAGTTTTCTAATGTAGAATGAATTGGCGATAGTTCAATCTTCAGTAACTCCTTTATCTCTTCCAAAGATGCCATAATGGCCACTTAGCGTCGTTTTTTAGGAGGAACGTGTTAAACACGTCCATCCACCATTACGACATATGCTAATCCTCAAATGTTGGGACTTTATTAAAGTCTGGTCGAGATCTTGTGCCAGTGATTCTAAATGTCATTATCATGATAGCAAAACCTATGATTAAGAAGAACTGGAGCAAAGTCCTTTAGGACTGTGTGTGCAAAATTTAATAGCTCTCTATTGAAATTCAAAGCAAGGAGAAAAAGGGCTTCTAAAAATCATTGAATAATCTTACCCATATTGTAACCCCTGCATTATTCAGACTAACCAGAGATAAAATACTGTACTTGGGAAAGAAAGACTAGTTAAAAAGCCAATTAAAAATCTTACTCTCGCCTTACATGTTTTTAGGTCATGTACAAAGCCACTTGAAATTGTAGCCGTTGACCATCTGCCTTCTCTGTTGCCGCGGGAGAGCAGCATAAGTTTTGCCGATGCAATGGAACCTCACTTGAATAATCTGGTACAGGTAAGCAGTCTAAAAGAATTGAATCAAAGAAAATCCATGGGCGTGATAGGGTATTGCACTTACCTCTGCTCTAACCTAAGGGTCTTGAGTCAGATTCCTAGGCTCAACATCACATCATCAATGATTATATTATAACCATTGTGAAGAAAAGGGAATTTCTTTGATATTGTTATTTTGATAAGATTGTGGGGGGTTTGAAAGCCCGGGGGGGTACTCCCCGATATTCGCTATATGGGTACGTGCCACCAAACAGGGTATGGTTTTCAGCATTTCTTCTCTGGAACAGGGTATATAAAATCGCGCTTTCTCCTCTCTGGAACAGGGTATCTATTTTCACAATACCGGAACAGAGTATGGTTTTCAGTGATCTTGCTCTGGAACAGGGTATGAATTTCAGCGATTTTACTCTGGAACAGGGTCAGGGTGCAGAGGGCTCAGCGGCACATCCCTACCCTAAACGGGCAAGAGTCCCCCCCCCCCCCCCCCCGGGTTTGAAAGGCTGTGAATTTCTTTTCCCTGTCAATTCCAAATTTTCCAAATATTGTTTAAATTTTTATATTTTTTGATATATTTTTTTGTAGAGTAATGAATGCCCTGTATGGACCAGGACCCAGACCATTTTTAACCAGAAGGCTGAAGAGGCTGAAGAACATCTCCTTAAGGAAAACTAATGCTTGCTAGTCATCACTTTTGTACAAATGTGTAAATTTAAATAACTCCTTTGCTCTGAACTTGCTTCTTAATTTGTTTAAGGCCACAAGGATAAGATAAGAAAGCAAACTTTTCTCAATCCCTTTGGGAATCCCTGTAGGGATTGGGGGTGAGGGGTTTGTGGCTGTTGATAGGGAAATTGATGGTTTTCAACCATTCCCAAGAGAATTAAATAACMAAAGACACGGCGGCCATGTTGGAGGATATAACAAAAGAATTCATTGATAATTCTTTTGTTAAGTTCCTCCAACATGGCCGCCGTGAAAACCATCAATTGGAAGCTTTAATAGGTATGCTACCATTATTGTTAAAGTGGGACCCTTGAAGTTTGATGTCTCTTTTGCCAACTACAATTTCAACGACTGTCAATGAAAAAACTGAAATGATAAAAAATATTTTTGAGAGAGAGTTTTTAGACTTAAATGATGCTTTTAGAGGATTGGAAAATATTTCCCTGAGGATATTGTTTTCTTTATTTCAGTTCTTTCATTGTCAGTCGTTGAAATGCTAGTTGGCGAACCAGACATCAAACTTTGCGCTTCACACTTCAACGATAATAGTAGTAAATCACATGAAGTTTTACAAATTGAACTTGCGTATAATTCTAATCTGGACATCAAAATTACTAAAACACACTTGAAGCTCCAAATGAATAATTTCTCAGTATTCTTACTACATCTCGATCCAACCATTCATTATTTTCTTTCTTTTTTCAATTATTTTTTTTTTTACTGGGGGTGCATTAATCATTTGATATGAGCAGAAGGAAAAAATATGTTCCACATTTTGCTGTTTTTGTGTAGATGAGTGTGTGGATGGTGTGTGCTGTGTTGCATATGAAACTGAAAGTTTTAAGACTAATTTCTCCAAAATCGAATTTAAAGAGATTACTAAAATGAAATGCATAATTTTTTCAAATTAATATAAATCAATAAATACTGGCAAAAAAAGTTATTGTGGTTGTAACTTTTCCATAAATTCATTCCCTGCACTTGATGTAAAATACCTTTGGGTTTTTTTTATTTTTGTCTTCTCCATCTCGCGAAAAGTACATTCTTGCGCAAGAGTATCTATATGTGTATTTGAATGATGTGTTCAGTTGATGGCTCATACGCTGGCTTATCAGCTGAGGCTGTAACTCCGGGCTTTAGAAGTAATATGATTGAGCGGTAAAAGAATTGTAATTCACATATTTTTAAAGTATTATTACAGCTACTCAGTCGGCAGTATTCTGGCTTCAATCGGTAGTTAGTAGAGCCTAAAGCAAAATACGACTTCCAGTCTTTTTAGTTAATGAGTCATACATGAATCTATCCTTTCACTAAGGCCCTGGCTATAAACGAGGAAACATGTTTCCCTAAATGTTTTCTAAAGTGGCAAAACTGTCAGGAAGCATCAGGAAACAATGTTTCCATGCGTCTTGGAAACATGAAGTGTTTCTGCCGCACAACAAAAACATTTTTTGCGTCTTGCAAGCAAAATTTGTTGCACGCAGCAATGTTTTGCATGTGGCTAAACTGGGAAACAGAGGAAACATGCGCGCGGTAAACGTTTCTGGAAACATGTTTTCCTCGTTTAGCGAGTTTCATTTCACTTGTAAAATTCACTACTCCGCACTCCTTCACACACTTCAGAGGGACGCTTTCCGTCGATGTAATATCTAAATTAAGCTTACTTTGGTGTTCTTTTGAGGGTTGTGATATTTGTAAACTCGGTACTCCGCACTCCTTCACACGCTTCAGAGGGACGCCTTCTGTCGATGTAACTTCTAAAATTCAATTAACCCCCGTGGTAGATCGCCGTCACCTTGTTTTAAGTCATTTTTACTTGTCAGATTTTGACTTAAGATTTTTTTAAATCTTTTAAAAATTTAATTTAATAATGCTAGCGCTATTTGACGATTATTCGCCGAAGGCGAAGTGAATATCGGGGAATATATTTACAGAGACGCGAGTCTTCGAGCGGCGAGGTAAATATTCACTAAGGCTGAGGCAAATAATAGTTTTAGTATGAATACACAGGTTATTCTTTCGAATAAAAGAAAAACAAGAAGATAAAAGGCATTTTTTTCCGGTGACAGCAACAAATCGGCTGGCTGCCATTTTGGATTATCGCTGGAGGTGATTATCGTGTGATAGCCGGCAGATAATGTGAGTTTCTCGACCAATCAGCGCGCGAGATTTTCAATAATCACCTGTGTATTTTTACTAAAAACGATTATTGAAAGCATAAAAAGGTTTGTTCGAGTTTAAGTTTGGTTTGTGTTATCGTGTGGATCGAGCGGGATTTTTAAAAATAAATGGAACTGCCGGCCATTTAGTGTTTTGAAATTCAACCGATTCCGTGCGTGGCAGAGATGCAAGGGATTAGCCGATATGGTCTGGGGGCCGGCTGGTCTCTCCCCTGATACTTCGGCTAGAACATTTTCTTGCGTAATTCGTACACCCAAGGGCAGAAGGATTTAATCGCCGTCAGGTCCGAAGTCCATACGCCGCCTCAGCTCTGCGGATGTCTCGGGGGTATGGCACAGTGGAGTCGTATTTTTTGAATTTCTTTTGGTGGGTTCGAATCCCATCTTATCTAAATAAAATTTTTCTTTTCTTAAATCCATTTTTTATTAGATTTAAATGTTCAACAATAAGGCAATCTTTTGAGTGAAAAAAAAAAATCTTTTTACTGATAGTCACCTTTGATAGATTTACATGTTCCATTTTTACTCGGTTTCCCAGAGTGCTTTGTGAGCTTTGATGCACATTGCTGAAGCAACCATTTTTTGATGGGGGAGGGGGTGGGGCATGGATAACTAGTATGACTGTCAATCACCCTTACATACTCAGATTTATTGGAGGCTTTTTAATCGTAGCATGGCAAAGAAACAACTTCGTCTGAGGAATTTCGGAACCGAGTGACTCACACCAATTATACCTGCAAATAAATGAATAGAAACAATGTTGAAATAACGTTGAAATAATTTATTTTTCAGGGGCGGATCTAGAGAGGGGCAAAGGGGGATTGTAGTCCCCCCTCTGTTTCAGAACGTTAGTCATGTTCTTGAAGTGGAATAGAAAGCGTATTTTAAAATATTTTTTTCTAAGTTCTTGGATCTGTAGTGTCATTCGCAAAACTCGGTCAAGCCCCCCCTCCCCCCTTATATTTTTGGCTGGATCCGCCCCTGTTTTTTGGGTTTTCAAAGCCGCTACTATTCGCTACTAAATGGTCCAGGTTTGTGAGAGGAGACATTATTAGTAGGTTTATACTAAATAGCTAGCGTGCACTCTATTATGTTAACAGCGAATGTTCTTTTTTACAAGAAAATAAAAACATGCCACGGAAAACCACATCCCGCTATTTTTCGCTAAACCACCCGTGTTAAATTTTAAGCAACCTCATCTGGTTGGTCCATTTGTAGACACTATTTATATTCGCAAAATTCATCAGGTGTAAAGCTACTTTGAAAAAATCTTTGATCTTATTTGAAAAATACCCCGATAATCCCAGGTACTTAGGAGGTCATATTGATGGTTTTTATTGAAGTTTGATGGATCATCATAGTTTTTTTGGTTGTAAAAAAAGGAGTTAAAATGTTCTTTGGCGGTAAATTGCCGCAAGGTGTTGTGGGTGAGGCGCAAGTCGACGTGGCCATAGTGTGACGTCACATAACGCATGCGTAGTGGCTGGCTCATGAATAAATGAGGGTATGACATCATAAACAGAATCAAGAAAGAAAGAAAGACAGGATTAAAACCTAGCAAAATGTCTTACGCATATCTTTTTAAATATATTATTATTGGAGACACAGGTCAGTTGAACGTATGGGAAAAGTATCCATCTACGTGTGTTGAGATTTGAAGGGATTTTGAAGCAGTTTTGAGAGAAAGACGAAGGATTTGCTACACGACGCCATTTTTATTCGTCAGATTATTTGTTCACTGGTACTGATTTTCTTTTATATTTCTTATCCAGGAGTTGGAAAATCATGTCTTTTACTTCAATTTACCGACAAGCGTTTTCAACCAGTACACGATCTTACTATAGGTACGTTAGAAGACGTCGAATTTAGTATGTTCCTGACATTTTTGATCCCTTGCGAGTCTCATTTGTAAGGTGCTGTGGATCAGTTCTGTGGACCAAAGGTTCTTTTAAAGATCAAAGATTTAGATATCCTATCAATCCCAGTGTTTATAAAACCCTCTTAATCCTTTCCTTTCTCTCAACAGGAGTAGAATTTGGGGCCAGAATGATTACAATTGATGGAAAACAAATCAAGTTGCAAATTTGGGATACGGTAGGCAGATTTTCTACCTATAGAGATCTTAAAACTTCACTCAAAATTGCTGGAATTTTCTTTCTTTGAATGTCACTGGGATATCTCTAAGTATGAATATATTCAAATAGATTAATTCTAAACCAGGAGTTACCGTAGTACAAAGCATTTCGATGCTTCATATAAAGGATCTTGCTCGCCGCTTGAACCATCTGCTTCAAGGAATTTTCTTCCCTGATTGAATTCATCCATTCAAAGTCCACAATTGTCCCATAATATCAAAATTTACCAACCCTCACGGGTTATTATCCTCAAATTTCGCCCACATCAGATATTTTTAACTGCAAAATAATGAAATAATTACTATTTTCCGAAATCACATCACGAAATTTTTTCGATCTGTCAATTTGAGCGATATCAAAGACAACAACATTGATCATCTTGGAATAATGAACTCAATTACTCACAGAAAATGAGAAAATAAACTTAAAATTTCCTTCCACAAAAACGCTAAAAAATTATTCTTTTGCATGAAAAATATATTTCATGGTAACTGACTGTGAGAATAACAAAATATTTTCACATTGTTTTAAATTTTATTTTTTCATATTTTAGCTTGTGGGTCTATATAATATTTCCCACAAAAGAAAAAAAAAAATTCTATTGTACTGTGAAAAATAATTATTTCATGCTACTTAAATTTCATGAGAGTTTCATTCCTATTGTTTGAGTTTTGAATTTTTTTAACGTTTCGTTTTCTCTTTCCAATAAAATACTAAATTTGGATAAAAATGACAAAGAAAAAAAAAAAAACCTAATACACGATTTGGCAGGAATTGCAAGATTCCTCCTATACTTTTATTTTATAACTCAAGATCCAACTGATAAATTTAGAGAAAAAGATCTCAAGAACTCTGGATTATGTAACCTTTTAGCACCAAGTTTAATATCCTTTAGTTATATTTTTAATTTTGAGAGATATTTAAAATATTTGGAGTTTGTTTTGGTTTTTGTCAGGTGTTTTGAAGGCCTGGCATAAATGATTTAGGTGAACTACAAGAGAAAGGTCAGCTCAGGAGGCCTTTGTTCTTGTCATCACAAACCCTTACAATGAAATTCCATATTAAGTCTTAACTATAGTTAAATTTTCCATTCAAAGTTCCCAAAATACTTCTTACTCTATTGTTTAATGATTAAGTGTGTATTATGAAATTAGCAGCTGTTTTTTGTGATTTCTAAAATTTATTCAAAATTGCAATAAAAAATAAAAAATATTTTGCAAAAACTGATATTATATATCTATATTTTGTGTGCTGCTTTTACCATTATCCAAACCAGTTTCGATAACTGAAATATAATTTTTCACTCCACATGATGATCAACCAAGGACTTGAAGGCTTTGAATTCTTGTTATAAATTTCAATGCAGGAGGGAAAAAATCTACTCCAACTCCTTAAATGCCTGATATATTAATAGTTATAACTGTTGATTTAAGGCTGGTCAAGAATCCTTCCGATCTATTACAAGGTCATACTACCGAGGTGCTGCAGGTGCACTTCTTGTCTATGACATCACACGACGAGACACATTCAACCATCTAACAACATGGCTAGAAGATGCCCGTCAACATTCAAGTTCAAATATGGTTATCATGCTTATTGGAAATAAGAGGTTAGAGCTATGGAGCAGCTTCCTAGTACACTCTAGTACTATCTTTATAGGAATTAAGGAATTTGACATTAATAACTATACCTCTGTATAGGGAAGACATATTGAGTTTATATGTTGGGTCCATAATAAAACTTATCATTGCTAATCATAATTGAGTGCAACTGAATGGGGTTGAACTGAAAGCATGTGAAGGCGCTTCTGGCAGCCACTATACAGCCTATGTATGACCCCAGAGCACAGCTATAACCAGTTTGTATTAGTTAGGGTTGATTTGAGAGAAGGGAGGGAAAAGGAAGTCAGAAAGAGAACCAACCATCTCAGTTCAAATGGGGCGCCTGGGATTCGAACCCAGACCTCAGAGGTGAGAGGTATGAAGCAAGCATTTTACCACCTAGTTGCCATCCTGGCTCCACATAAAATGTCCAAAGGCTTTATTGAAAAGCACTAGAAAAGAATTAGAGGAAATTGAAAGTTAAATAGATATGGTTTTATTGATCTAGCATTTTTTTGCCATGTAGATATGATTCTGTTATCATGCCTCTTTGTTATTATCAATTGCACACATGCATTGGTATATGTTCCTCAGGAATGTACATTCACTTTTACTCTGGCGATGGCAAACCAAAAAAAGCTTAGGTTTCATTTTTTAAATACATTTAAATGGAGATGAAGGAATTTTCTTACAATATACTCATTTGTTAATATTTTAGTGACCTTGAAGCTAGACGTGATGTCAAGAAGGAAGAGGTAAGAAAGATGAGATAATAAGATGAACCTTATCCTCTGCAGAATTCCTTCTAAGGCACTTTCCATAAACTTGAATCGACTGCTCCAAGCAGAGGGTTTTCAAATGGTATGCATCAGTCCTTATCAGAATTTGGTTGACCAGTTATATAGAACTTGAAGCTTGGATTGGTTGGTTGGACCTCTCAAAAAGCACCCTAAGTTTAAAAGTCATCAAAATATGAGCTTACAAGGATGGTGTTTTCCCTTGCTTGATAACTCTTGATATCATGGTAGAAATAAGTTGTTTTATTGTTCCAGGGAGAAGCATTTGCAAGAGAGCATGGATTAATCTTCATGGAAACGTCTGCTAAGACTGCGGCAAATGTTGAAGAGGTGAATAATGCCTTCTGAATAGAGATGGAAAATTTTAAACTTTCAGTAATGTACTATGTATTTTGCCACAATTATATCATGTTCACTAAAAATACCGTAGAATTAAAGATGCAAAATCACAACACTCTATCTTATACGCCATTCACACCTAAACGTGTTTAGTTAAACTATGTTTTCATTAGGAAAAAAATTGAAAAACTAGAAACCTACAAAATAATGAAACTTTCTAAAATATTGTCAGAGCAAGACAAAGGATAGTTTACATGCATTATTTCACCAAATATTGTGCAGTGTTCGTAGATAGATAGATTTTTTCCAAACCTGTTTAGTTAAACCACTTTAAAACATGTTTAAGCCTTGGTGTGAATGGGGTATTAGCTTTACTATATGTGGAAATTTGGTAATGCACAATTAACAATCCAGTATTCAGAAGATGACTTTTTAGAAGCCTGTACACCTTTATTTTATTCACACTATACACTTTGGGCCAGGTTGTATGAATGGTGGATAGTGCTATCCAATGATTAAATCCTTATCCAGTGGATAAGTTGATGCTGTTATCCATTCAATTTACTGAGTTTAATCAAGAGTTTAAGATATTCAGACATAACAACATCTATAGCACACCTTGACAACATAAAGTTATGACGTCAAAACTATGTTTTTGCGTTCAAACTAATCGAGAAAACTATAGCCGTTCCAAGCTCAACTGAAAAGGGCAGTATCTACTGGATAAGATTTATCCAACATATAGTGCTATTTATCCTTCGTAAAACCAGGCCCTGTTGTCCATTGACTTACATACTTGTGGCATAGGGTCTGTACTGAGCAGTTAGTGGTAATAATTTCTTCTTGTACGAGTCTGTACCAGGCAGTAGCTATCATTTCTTGGCTTGATGAAGCAAATTTATAAAGTATTTTTATTCTTAAAACATTTAAAAATGTTTTTTTAATGATTTGGCATCATGATCATGTCTTTTTAAATATCTCTTACTAGGCTTTCATCAACACAGCAAAGGAAATTTATCAGAAAATACAAGAGGGTGTGTTTGACATCAACAATGAGGTAATGTTATTCTTTCATTATATATCATATTTTATGAAGGTGAAGTTTGATATCGAGAAAATTAAATTTTTGCTGCTGTAGGAAAACAATGCTACCACTTTAGTGGACAACTTCTACCATGCAGTGGCCATCTTGAATTGCAAGGGGTGGGTCATCCAGGGGCAAATATACAAAGCTATGTTAAAATGATTGACATTAACAGTTCATAACAAGAAAAGTTAACAAGAGATGAATTAAAAAATGGACACCTGAACAAAATTCTGAAAGATCTTGGGGCCGTCATTTAATCATCTTTGTTTTGTTTTGCCCCCTTTTTGACCCATAATGCCTTGCAGTTCAAGATGGCTGCCATATAGTAGAAGTAGTCCATTAGGCCCAATTCAGACACTGTACTTTAGCTGCTTCAAATCAAATTGCCTATGAGGTGTAGCACTGTTTTTCCTTGAAACTAGTAAAAGTATGTTTACCAAACACCATCTTTTGGCACTAAGCAAAAGAGCTGATATAGTTCTCGGCATTTTCTTCAACATTGCTAGGGGGAGGGGCTGGAGAAATAAAGTTTCTATTGTAATTGAACTTCCTGGGTTGTGTAGGTCACTGATTGTAGCATTGAAGTGACTTATTCTAATTCTTGTCCTTAATCACCAGGCAAATGGAATAAAACTTGGACCTCAACACTCCCCATCCAATCCATCAGTACCCCTTGGTGGTAGTAGATCACAAGACAGTGGTGGATGCTGCTAAATCCCATGTATAGTGTACATCAAAACCCATGTTAACTCAACCTTCAATTTCATCTTGCTCCTGGTGCTGCAGGACAAGATGTGCAGGGATTCTCGGGGGAATCCAGTGAAGGCTAAAAAGCCACTAATGAATTACCTAGTTGTCAATAAATGTGCAATCATTCAATTATGAAAGTTCTAAAAGTGCAAATAATATGTTTATGTGTTGTAATAAAAGGGGGATTCTTCATCAATACTGTAATTATTAACTAATGTAGTATCATATTATATTAATAGTTGATGTACAATACCATAAGCATAGTTGATTGTAGGATACTTACTTAAGGTGTAGCTTTTCATGAAATTGGTTATATGTATCATTTTAGAAACCATTCCTTTACTTGTTGCCTGAAAAACAAATCTGTGTTCAAGTGATAAATTACTATACTCTAAAACAGAGAAATAACAAATCCTATAGTAGATTATTCATTCTATCGAAACTCAAAATACTTCCAAAATACCCTAAGAAATTTTTTCTGATAACACATCCTTTATCCTGATAAAGATAAAGATTACAAACCAGTCTTCGCATTTGAATCTTGCACCATTGGCTTACAGACTTTTAAAAGTAATGTATGCCTGCTGTTTTGATCCAGAACCAATGTTATGAACAAGACTCTAGTCCTTGGCTGTAGTTTATCAAAGGAAATATTATTATAACATTTCATCTACTTGGAGTGCATACTATTCCCATATAGGCCTATCTGTGAAAAAGTTAACTAACAAAATTGTACAAATTAGTTCAAAGTTTTGTAGAACTACAGTCTACTGAAGTTACTAATTTGTGCAATATTAATTTTTGCAATATTCCTTGTAAAGTTTATCATGGATATATGGTATGCACTCTACCTTTCTCTTAAAATATTTTTGTTTACACCTTCCCAGCTTTTTTTAAAAGAATTATCTGGTTTTCTAAGTAGGAGAATTCCTTGGTGTTTTCATAATAGTCATATTTTTGAATGTACAACCTAAGAATTATGCAGAATTATTAATTTCATTAAACATGGGATTTATTTCTAAATTGTGCAAAGTCCATCTAACCATTGAATTGTAAGTTGAGAAATAAAGTTATATTACAGACAGTTATTTCATAGTCTAATGACATTGTCTTGAATCTTACAGTATCAAAAGATCACTATCCTTGTTGTGGATATTGTTTATTTTACATGGGAGATCCATTAAATTGGTATATTCCTAGCCTGTAGGAAGGGGATGGTACCACCTATTCCCATTCTCTCTCATCCTCCATACCACAGCCCCTAATCCCACAAGCCCCACCCTTCAATCTCCCACCTCAGAGATGGACAGTGACCAAGGGAAATAGAGGGACTGCTCACAGTTTAAAGACCACTAGCCTTGTTGTGGGTATTGTGTACATTGGAGATCCATAAATTAGTATATTCCTAGCCTGTGGGATGGGGATGGCCCCACCTGTACCCATTCTCTCTCATCCTCCATACCACAGCCCCTAATCCCACAAGCCCCACCCTCCACCCTCCAATCTCCCACCTCATCTAAACATGAGGTTGATACATCTTATTTTGATCATGTCTTCTATTGCATCTATTTTATGGGCCAGATATATTAACATGTATAAACCTATTCATGGTTTCGACTTGCAACTGTTGCTATGTGTCCCACAATTGAATTCTGATCTGGGATACTACAAATTGTTGCATTTTTTGCAATTTGATAGGTTTATGCACCTAGCATTTTAAAAGCTTCAGGGTTGGGGTGGGGAAGGGTGCAGAGCAGTCAACCCTAGGGGAATTTGACAATTGAAATTTGAAATTTCCAAATATTATTCAAATTTAGCATACTTTAAGGGACAGGTCATTATTACTATTGGGAAGGGGGCTGGTGCAAATAGGGTGTGGTTCACCAAATTTGTGCTTGTGGAGAAGAGTGGGTATCGTATAAATGTATGCAAGAACTCACCAAAATATCAGCCCTATATACCTCCCTTCTCCCCTGGTGGGTCGCAGCAAATGACTGTGAATCCCTGTAGCCTGTTTTACTTTCAAGCTTTAAAAAAATCATTTCTCGTCCCAGTGCATACAGAAAAAATTGAACAGAAGCTTAATTGAAAGACAATTAATTTGAGAATCAGACATTGATTTTTTACTCTCGGCAAAGATCGAAGCTTTTCTGTAAGCATATTTCCAAAGCCTTCGATTTTTAACCATCATCTCATTATAAATTCATGTAAAACTTATGATCCGTTTACTAAATCTACGCTTGGGCTACCTGTGTTCACAAATGCAAGCTACCACGTGAAGTTTAGTTGCTAGCGGACAGAGCTGGACAGAAAGAGCATTTAAAACTTTGGTAGTTTTCCTTCAACATTCGAATTACTTTGCTATCTTTTTCGAAGACTACAGACTCTTGACTTCAGGTAAGAACCAATGAAATCTTTTGCATTTATCATTACTAGTATTAGTGTGAACAGATGGGACAGACTCACTCATCACACGAACATTTTAGCGTCCTGAATGCAAATTTGATTCAGAAAACGTGAAGAGCGAATGTTCTAGTGATGTTTTCTCGATTTTTATTTTTATATTGTTTTTTGGGGGCGGTAGGAGACTTCAAAATGATCCTTTGAACAAGATTGTAGTTTCCGGGTCACTAGGGACACTAGGGCGGTTTCTCATCCTTAACGAGTCCGACTAAGACGCGGGCGGAGATGGTTCGCTGATTTTTTCGAGCAGAGACTGGTATCTACACAGACCAGCATGATGACTTCCGTTCTATATATGATTGACGAGTAGCCTTGAAACACACACTATACGGCGTGATCAGAACGTGACACTCAACTTAGTGTAGTACAACAGCGCTGCCAATTTCTTTTCAGAGGCTTTTTATCGAAAAAAATAACAACAATTATGTTAGCTTTATAATTATCATGAAAATAAAGTTGACTCATCAACCTTTAGATGACTTTAATATTTCCCTTAGCTTTCAACTGACACGCGGTCATCCTCAGCTTTGTAATTGTATATTTTCTAGTTAAGGATACACGGAACACAATTTTCGTCAAAAATATATATTTTTAGAAACCATGCTATATCAAATATAAAAGTAAAATCTTTAATTTTATATAAAAATTATGTTAATATACTTTATGCTCATTGGCGTACTGTGCAGAAACTTGTCAACATTGAGTAAATAAACTTATAATCCCATTAAACTAAACTTGTGTTTTTCTCAAAAGTAGTTTTTGGTAAAATACACATTTTCAGAAGGTTTATTCTCCCTCGGTTTTTGATCAATTACCGTGAAACATGGCATGTGGATTCCTACTATATACTCAAGTTTAAAAATGTGTCTGAGTTTTTTCATTTTCCTTTTCTTTTGTCAGATATTTGCCATTTTCTCAAGAATGCCCTTAAAAACATGTAGTCATAACTTTGGAATTGAATAAAAGATTAAAGAAGCACTAAAAGAAAAAACACAGACGTCACTTTGGTAGAACAACATATGTGTAATAAGATGCAAAAAAAATTTGATCCATTTACGCTAACCAGAGGGAGAACAAACATCTCGCGTCGAACCGTAGCGTTTGCAATCAATGCCTGATTTATCCAAAATGAATTATTTTTGTCCAAAAGTAAAATCGAATATGCAATATTTGAACTTTAAGCTGTTAGAAAATGTATACTTTATTATGGGGAAATTTATATAAACTAAACGCGCTATGAGCGTTCAAAAAACCCGACCCAATTGTGTTCCGTTTATCAAGAGTTGTATAATATTATATACATATGTATATTTAGAGGGCTCCCGTTGATAGCAGTACTTTTGTTACTGAAGGGAATACCCTGCTTAAATAAAGGTTTTCATTCAATTATTGAAAGAAAAATTCACAAAAATGAAAGATGAAATTCAGATTGAAAGGTAAACAACCCATGCTGGTTATTTCTGTCACAACTGAAGTGTTATGTGCAGATGTAAATCCTTATCCTGACAACAAGTTTGTTTTGTAAAAATCGAATTATTTCGATTTTTACACTACCCAGTATTTCCTTTTAATGAAAAATGCAAAAAAGGTTTACAATGTCAATGTCTCTTAGATTTTCCCCTAAGAAGATGATTTGGTCTTTCAATAGCTTCTATGAATCAGAATCAAGCGTAGTATTCACCATGTCCATAAAAACTGAACATTGCAGCAAGTGCCGAAATCAAAGATTTCCTGCGCGAAGCAAAGAAAATTGACAGCTGTATAAAGTCACGCAAGAGGGCACTGAATAAAATAGGTCTATAATTTCATTCAACGCTCATGTAAATAAATTTGAAGCCTGTGAATTTTTCTTTTATCTCTATAAAGCTATCATAATTGTTGTTATTTTTGCTGGTTTTTTTTGATAAAAAGCCTCTGAAAAGAAATTGGCAGTGATGTTGTACTAGAGTACACTAAGTTCAATGTCACCTTCTGATCATGCCATATGTGTGTTTCAAGAAGAGATAACGAGTTAAAAACTAATATGACCTGTGACAGTGTTTCTAATGAAACAGTAATGATAAAAAGGTAAATTATGCACCGTGAAAAGATGAAAAAACTGACGTTTTGGATGCTATAAGTCCTTCATCATATGTGTGTTTCAAGGCTACTTAGATACCAGTCTCTGCTGGAAAAAATCAGTGAACCATCTTTGCCTGCGTCTTAGTCAGACTCTTCCTAATCATAGGGTCAGACTCGTACCCAGTTCCTTCTCTTGTCTTTTTGATCTCGCAGTGCATCCACCGCGCATATTAAAAAAGCATGAGTGACAATCTACTGGGTATGAGTCTTTCATAGGGTTGTAAATCCATGTCTAAGTACATTTTGATCTACTTACACATATTAATTAAATAACATATTCAAATATATTAATTGTATCATCACTCTATAATCCCATATAAGCCACTATTGTATTATTTTCAAATTCTCTTTCCTGTCCAAATTAAAGATTAATTTGGATTGTTTCCATTAGCATTCTTTTGAGGGAAAACTATGACTTATGGAATCAGTCAAGTATAGTTTGGGATGATATACTTAATCTGCAATAGGACTACATGTCTGTCCAATTTGGAAATAATTAAATTCAAAAACTTCCTCTGGCTGCCAAATTGGACTCATCCAATTATTTCCAAATTGGACAGCATGTAGTCCTACTTACCTATACTTATAATACACTTGACAAAATTAATCCATTCTGATTGGACAAGAGGAGTACAATTAAATCCCAAATTGTACTCTGTAGAGTCCCAATTAAGTTGCTAAATTTTGTTGAGTGTACATAATTATAAACAACAAATCTCACAATCTTCTCATGCAATTGGGTCTTATTTTTTATTTAAACTCAAAAATAATGTTTACAAAGCTCTGACCTGGCCCTTGGTTTTTAGACCTTAATTTCTCATCAATTCTTTCTACACGGCAAGCAACGGCCGTTTTTTTGAAGTATTTTTCTTCACTACTCCATTTCTTCACATGTCTGCATCGCAATTCATCATCGGAAATCCTTTAATATTTCGGCTTAGAGTCATCCCTAATTCAAAGATACAAAGATACAAATATATTGCTTCTTGCTTCTTTAGGAGGAAAATTTAATTTTAATCTCAACACACTCTAATCAAATTTATCAGCAGTGTTGTGTTCCTGACCCTTTGACATGGGGTGTAGGGTGAGACAGAGTTCACAAAGTTCAACCACTTTGCAACACATACGTTAAATATACTGCCTTTTTTGCAATCAGAGCAACACACATTGGTGGAAGCTACAAATGATTACATCTTGGCTTAGGTTAGGGCAAGGAATAATACAATATAATGAAATAATTGAAGAACACAAGGATGGTAACCTACTTTTGATCTTAATCCAGACTACAAAACTCCAATTTAGACTCTAAGGTGACTGGGTTACAACTAAAGGTTATCTGAACATGATTCTATGGTTATACTTGATACATTGGGTGCGTGAGTAGCCTTGTAAGGGACTTCATGTTCTATTGCTGTATCACCTGCCCTATGTGGTGAATGAAATATTATTGTCAAATCAATAAAGAAATTCTAAATGTTATATTTGTATGTGAGGGAAATGATAAATAATTTTGAATTCAGTACCCATTTCCCTTTACACTAGTATTGAAAGTGACCTGTGCTTTTTATTTTTTTTTACAGTAAGCAATCCTTTGTTTTTCTTTATTTACAGAGCAATGTCTACAAAACCAATCAAGCTGGTGCTTTGTGGTGGAGGCAATGCAGCTCATGCCTGGGCTGGTATAGCTTCATCTCAACCAGACACTGATGTATGTGTTCTATCCTTGTTCCAAGATGAAGCAGAGAGGTGGTCTAACTCTCTCAAGGAACACGACTTCACTGTGAACCTGTACAGAAAAGGAGAGTACTACAAGAAGCTGAAAGCCAAACCAAGACTGGTTACTAAGAAACCAAAGGAGGCGATTCCCGGATGTGATGTCATTGCCTTCGTGTTGCCAGCCTTTGCACATGAGCAGTACTTAAATGCGATCAAACCACACCTTGAACCAGGCATGATTCTTGTTGGTTTTCCTGGACAATCTGGGTTTGAGTTTCAGGAACGAGCTATTCTAGGAGATATTGCAAAGCAGATTACTCTCATTAACTTTGAATCATTACCATGGGCAACAAGAATTATGGAATTTGGTAAAGATTGTGAAGTACTTGGTACTAAGGATACCATGATGGGTTCTGTGCAGATCGGGTCAGTTACTCCAAGAAGAGATCCATTCACAGTTGTCCAGAAGCTGATTGGTGAAAAGCCAGCCCTAATAACAAAAGGCCATCCTCTTGCAGCCAATCTTATGTCTGTCAATGCATATCTGCACACTAGTCTGACGTACAACGAGTGGTGCACTTGGGACGGTACCCCTCTTGACAAACAACCATTGTTTTATCATGGTGTAACAGAGGGTGCTGCAGCATTGTTAGGCAGCTTATCAGATGAAGTGGTTCAGATAGCAAAAGCTATCCAGGCTCAGAGCCCTGATACTGATATGTCAGAGGTAATTGACATGCACACTTACTATAAAGCCCGCTATCCTGATGACATTGAAGACAAAACCTCTCTGCTATCTTGTATCAGAACCAATGCAGCTTACAAGGGCTTGACACACCCAATGATGGAAACCAAGGAAGGGAAGTTTGTACCCAACTATGCCAACTACCGTTTCCTGACTGAGGACATACCATTTGGGCTTGTGGTGATCAGAGGGATTGCAGAGGTAGTGGGTGTGGCCACACCAAATATTGATAAAGTACTCACTTGGTGTCAGGAGCAGATAAACAAGGGATATCTTGTGGATGGGAAGATCCAAGGAAAAGATGTGAAGGATACAAGAGCACCTCAGAGATATGGATTCACTACTCTGAAGGACATTATTGGACACTAGTAGATAATGACATGAACCATTAATGATACTGGGTCATTGTGGTTGATTTTGAAATGAGGAAATCCTTAGGATATTTGGTATTAATTTGCCATTTTATAGATAATATATGACGATTATCATTTATAGATGTAGAAATACTTGTATGGAACTTGCATTTTGTTATGGCCATGCTGTTCTTAGATGGTATATAAAGAGTAGTGAATAAAAATATTATTTTGGATAATTATATAAATTAATATCGAACTCCCCCCCCCCCCCCCCCCCCCCCCCAACCCCCCCCCCCCCCCCTCTTCCTCCTAGAACCACCCCTTGATCTGTACCTCTTGTAGTAAAGATTCGATTAACGAACCAAGTTTGGAAAAATATGTGCTATGAAGTTGGGAGGGGTAGGGTAATGTCAAACGATGTAAACAACAAAAGCAAGCAGCACGAGATGAGACAACAATATTTAGAATTAAATACACGTTCCAATAATTAGAGTGGGAAGCCTGTGGATGGATGTTAGCCGTCATACAGTGTGCAAGATGTTTCAAGATGCGGGTACCTTACGAGTGTCGACGCGCAGTGTCCCGTGGGATGAATGGATGAGCACCAAGGCTTACCTTATGAAGTGAAGAATTGCGGTGTGTTTAAGGTATGTCCATGGAGTAATGTACATTCTATTTGTATTCGATTGAGTTTACCAATGACAAGCGCACTTTTGATTAACACAATACCATGGTCTCTTGATTCTCAAAAGCGAAAAATCATCACGCTAACAGTAAACAGTTATACTTCCTGCTGATTAACGATGCAGTGCATTTCTTTGATCGGCGAGTTTCCTTCCCTAGAGGAATGTGAGGTTTATATCTTTGGTCACATCTTCTTGGAGGAATAGATGATGGATGGGATTGGTAAAATGGATGAATTGATGGGACGAATCGTTTTAATGATGTGATAAATGGATTGGAGGAATGAAAACTATAACATCGGTGAACAGATGGAGGAACAAATACATGATCGATGGATGAAAGTGGTCTCATTTAGGAACTTTATAAATACGATGAATGGTTAACTGGGGTTTCAACCGGACAGGTTTTCAGCGGGGTTTTCAGTCGTCTGATGGTAAAAGCTGTTTTTTAAACTAATGTTATTGTGGCTAATATCTACTTTTTATAGTAAACCTAATGACAAAAGCAGATGTTAAACGTCTATTTGAAGGTAGACCGCACTATGTAATCAGAGCCAAACTGACCAAGAAACTTGTACTTCAGGTTTTTCGCATCAAAGCAACTATTATTTTACATTGTAAAACAAAATTCGAAATACCTTTTTACTTGATCCACGCAAATAATCAGATTCCTGCAATAAATGTGTACGGGGAAATAAGCTTGCAGGGCTTAAAGTGCCACTAGCAATTTCCATACATTATAGGAATGATCAATGCTCTTTTTTTGCTGTTTTAGTAATCTTAGCAAATAATGCATTTTTTTATTTCCTGGTCGTGCATGCCTCACATATGAAAACTGAAGTTGACTAACAAATTGTACAAATTAGGGCCAAGTATCGTAGGTTTACGGTTTAGAGTACATACTATACTTTGCCGACAAATTAGATTAAAGTTTAGTAGACCTCAGTAGTTCGTAGACCTACAAAAATTTGCAATAATTTCAGTTTTGTTAACTTTTCACAGATAGTTTATATGGTGAGTGCACTCTTCTGAACTTACTACTGAGACCTTACTAATTTTTTATGCAAATTTGTGCAATTTTGACCAAAGTTTTTCACGAATATATGGTACGCATTCTGAACTTATTGACGGAAGTTCATTAAACATTTCCTTTGCATTTTGCTGTTTACTACATCATATCATTAATCTACGTGGTTTCTACCGTATGCCAAGTGGTTTAACCTGCGCTATTTATTATATATGATGTCTGGCTTCTTTTGAGTCGATCCCCTGCGCATCACACGCCTTTTCCTTACAGGTTTGTCAATCTTCTCTCTGTGTATTTCTCGGTTCTTTGAGGAACCTTTTAGAATCTCGCCTGGTAGAGGAATGGGGTGTAAAGCTGCACTGCTCGTAGCAGTGGGTCTTGTTATGATCTTTTGCGCTGTACAAGCAAATGATGTGCAGCAACAAAACGCGAAGCGAAAGATGGTCAATCCAACGAACACGCCAAAAACTCTGTCTGATGTGGTAAACATGTTGAGGAATTTAGAGAAAAGGTATCGTATTCAAAAAGACATTGGAAATAGAGTGAACTAAGGCATTTAACCCKTGAAATCAAAAATGCTAGTCACAGTAGTCAACGTGTWATAGTCAAATCGACACAAAAGAAAACAATGGAATTAGGGTCTACTAAAGTGTATTAGTCTAATATCTATTTCACGGGTTTAGTGACTTCACTCTAGTCAAATAGACACGAAAGAAAACAGTGTATTAATCTAATATCTATTGCACGGGTCTAATGAYTTCTCGTACTGGAAAGAAAACTAATTATGGGTTCCACCTATCATGAAACATTAAAAATACTTTGGCTAGCATAGCATAGTTCGAYAACAAGGATAAASAGGATCTAGTATTTCAACAGTATTTATTTGCTTAACACGGTGTGCAGTCCCTTGTGCGACCTAGCTCGACCTGTTAAATATGGACTTTTAAAAAATAVAAAAAGAGTGCTTTCAATCTTTATAAGTTCACAATTTGTTGGATCATAGTCTATTGCTTTGGAGATATATCTATCGCAATATCTATTACAAGGCTACACGAAATCAGTGCTTATGATGTCATTTTATTGCATTTCAGATCCATTCGACAGTTTGAATCAAAACGTTCTTTGCTGCTTCGAGGTAAGTTGTAAATATAGACTTTACTTCCTACTTCATATTTGTGATGATAATTTGTTTGAAGTAAGGCCGGTTTTTGTACTCTAGGCCGTAGAGGTGGTCGCGATGGTTCACCAAGAAAACCAGGTGGGTATGTAACGTTCAACTTTCAAAGATGTTGCGCCCGAACACTGCGCGGGCGTGTGCGCCCAGATCCACTAGTATCCCAGAATGCATTGCGAGTGAGATTGACATTTTGAATTTAAACAGCTAAAATGAATATTTTCGAAATTGAAAAATCAATTAAGCAAAGTGTATGTCATGCCTTTAAGCGATATATACTTCTAAATTCTTCATGAGATTTTAACGATAGCCATCAAAACACTGAGAAGTACTTCACTTTTGGAGGAGTAATAGACCTCTTCGGCTCTGACGTAATGTTGTCCCATTTCAGACCACATGTCATTACCTAGAGTATCATTTCTTTGTTTAAGGTTTGCGCTCGGTTGCACATGAGAAGACACATGAATATGGATACAACTCAAACAAAGAACTTATTCTCAAGGGAATGACACGTGGTCTTAAATGGGACAACATTACGCCCGAGCCGAGGAGGTGTATTTCAGGTTCAGTACAGATCCTACAACTGGCTACTTTCATTTGCTAAATTAGTCCAACCGGTATTCATTAAATGCTAAAGCAACACCTTAGTGTTAGTAATATTAGTGGTAGAAGTATCATTACAAAAATATCCAAATAAACCGTTTAAATCCAAAGAAAACAATAACAAGCGTGCAAAGGCACTTGGGATACTAGTGGATCGTCCTCTGGTGTGCGCCCTCAAATGCCTYTTATTGCACCGTAACACATTCAACAATATCAGAAAAAAGTAGAACATAAAAACTGTTCCACTTATCTTTTATTTCAAACATTCATACTATAATTTTATTATCTTTTGCATTATTGTTTAGTCAAACATCGACGCTATAGACGAGAGGCTTTACCAGGTTAGTAAAAGAATCGTTGAATATAGGCAATACGACTACACGTCAAATTTGGAAATAATTGGATGAATAATTCCGAGGACTGTCAAATATGAACTACACAATTTTGAAGGGTAGCTAGATTTACACAGAGTAATTTTTACCTAGGCCCTTCACGTAGATCGAATTAGAATTTAGAAGTTGGTTTTTGCGCAAGGAAAACCGCAGAACCTGGAGAAAAACCCTCGAAGCACAGGAAAGAACCAATAAATAACTCTACTCACATAAGACGAGTCTGAGGATCGAACCTGGATCGCGTCAGTCATGAGAGTTGAGCACCCTCAACGCTATACGCCACCCATGCTTCGCAGATCGTGAACAACGCCGTAAAGCAATCTTTTTTAAGAGGAAATTAATTCCAGACAAAAATTAAAGTTGGCAAAATATTACACATTTCAAGGGTGAAATTTTAAAAAAWACCATAGGTGCTCATATCGGATTAT